GGAGTTGGAACTTCAGAAGATGGCCCAGCCTGGTCCTGAGCTGCATGGAACCCGATAGGTTGAGGACCCTAATTGGTTGAGGACCCGACAGGTTGAGGACTCGACAGGTAGCCAAAGAGCGAGTGAGCAAGAATGAAAGTTGTTTGGGGGTAAACATACCCAGGACACGTGGAGGACCCTTATTGGTGTTTGAAGAAACTGGAAAAGAGGGATTGCCTAGGTCCACCTCGGCCCTGCCGAGGAGACCGGGTTCGCCCGTTATAAAAGGCTAAGTATGGGCGTCAAGGTTCGACCTGGTTGGGGTCCGACCTGCTTAGAACCCGACAGGTTCGACATGAGAAAAGACATATAACCGCCGGTCGTGTGTACTGTCGGATCCATCACCTATAAATAGAGGACTTCATTTCACACTCAAGTATCGAATCTCACCTCGAACTAAATACAGAATCCGATCTATACTGACTTGAGCGTCAGAGTGCTTACCCTCTTGTGCAGGTCCACTTTAGTGTTCAGGACGGAACCGGAGACCGAGTTCGAGCTCGATTCGTGAAGAACCGTTGTGCAAACTCTTGCATAAACAAAAGTAATTTGGTATCACCACGAAACAAAATTAGTCGAGTCAAGACTGACTGGAACCAAATTACAAATAGTGGAGAAAAGAAATAACGGAGAGGAAATGGTAGAGACAGGGTCAACGGAGGAAGCCATGGGAAATGAAGTACAAAAATTTGAAAGGGTAATTTGGGAAAGGAAATGAGTTGCTTTATTAATGCAGGGAAAGAGAGGTGAAAAGAAAAAAAAAAAATCAGGGACGCTCGTCTAACGTACTTTGATACACATGAAACTAACTTAAAAAAAAGATGGAAATGAATTTTCTTTCGATGTGGTTGATTTCACATTATGGCTGTTTAGGCCCGTTTGGTAACGTTCCGGTTTCCTGATTCTTATTTTTCAAGAAACAGACATGTTTGATAACTAATCTCATTTTTCGTTTCTAAATTTTGAGAAACGTTTCCAAAAAGGGGCTAAAGTTGGGAAATTATAAAAAGTAGTTTCTCCCGGTTTTGTTTCTAATAAGTATTAAGCATTGCGTTAAAGAATAAATAATGGAGGACTTCCTCTGTTGGTCAGGTAGGCATTGTAGTCTTATTGTCCTCAGGTTAGCAGTTTGATTTTCATGGTAAACAAGGATTTAATTATACTTTTTTAAATTTCCAATTTTGCATTTTTTTTATAATTTTTTAAAATAATTTCTATTTTTTTTAAATTTTTATTACAATCTTATTTTTTAATAAATTTTTAATTCCTATTTTTATAATTCTTTTTTTAAAATTTAATATTTTCGATAAAATAAAAAATATTTTTAAAAATTTATTATTTATTTAAAACTAGTAATTTAGACTTTTATATCAAAAAAATTTATATGATAAATTATATTTCATTTAATGAATTATATTAGTCAAGGGTCAACATGAGCATAACTGCTAAATGGTAATTGACATGTACTCCTTCCCTCCAGGTGGGAGGTTTGATACCTATTTCCCTAAATTTATATATATATCACTTTTTTACTATTTTTTTAACTAACAATAAAAATAAGAAACAAAAATGTTACCAAACATATTTGTGTTTCCAATTTAAAAAAAAAATTAAAACAAAAAAACAAAAAAACAAGAAACAAGAAACATGAAACAATAACGTTATCAAACAGGCCTTTATAAGCCCATTGTGCAACAGAGTTTGAAATATTTGCTAACTACTTGCTAATATCTAAACCACCTGCTAATATCAAAATCACTTTCAATAATACACGATTGTTATAACTAATAGAGGCGAGGTAGGAACCTTTGGTTGGGGAAGATCTAGATGATATAATTCTTCACTAAGCTTGTCTTCCAATATTGTTCTCCCAGATTTCTTTTCCATTTACAAAACAGTAACCATAGTAAAAAACAACAATTACTCCATTATATATTGGTAGTCAACTGTGAGATACTGAGCAAGTTTCTTTTGATATTTGGAACCAGCAACATATTATTGAAGGTAAGTGACAAATCACTGTGTAATTTTTAAGTCCCAAAAGTTTCAATGTGTGTGATTTTCAACTTTGGGCCATTACCTAGAGTGAGAGTTTTATTGCCATTGTAATTATTTTGCTTTGAAGATCATTGGTTGTGTGGTTTATTGTTCCACTATCGACCATAACTTTGGTCATTAACAATTTATGGGGTTGCTATTTATTTATGCAGCAGCAGCATTATTGTTGTCTTTGTAGCTTATATTAACGCGATGATAGCATCTTTCTGCAGTGTGCCCAAACTTAGCAGGTAGATTTTGAGTTTCCTCTTGAGTTGAAATTTCTTCCCCCTTGTTCAAGAGAGCTCCTTGGAAATTATATTTTGTGTAATCTTTTCTGTTATAATTAAATTCTGTGTAAGGAATCTTTTTTTTTTTTTTTCTTTTTTGTATTTAGCAGTACTCCTGTATAGATATTGTAATTTTTTTTATCACCATTGTGGGAAGAAACATTAATTGATTATTCGTATGTTTCTCTAACTTTTAACTTGTTGAGAGAAACTATTATGGTATTAAAGTCCAAAAGCTCCAACGAGTATTCGATAAAAAAATGAGATTTGGTCAAAATCGATGAGCTAAAAAGAGCTACGATCTTGAGGGGACATGTTAAGGATCCCAGATTGATAAAAGAAGGGACCTTACATAGGTTTA